AATACCTGTACTTTCTACTTCTTACATGTTGAACACAAATACCTGTACTTTCTACTTCTTACATGTTGAACCCAAATACCTGTACTTTCTACTTCTTACATTTTGAACCCAAATCCCTGTACTTTCTACTTCTTACATGTTGAACACAAATACCTGTACTTTCTACTTCTTACATGTTGAACACAAATACCTGTACTTTCTACTTCTTACATGTTGAACACAAATACCTGTACTTTCTACTTCTCACATGTTGAACCCAAATACCTGTACTTTCTACTTCTCACATGTTGAACCCAAACACCTGAACTTTCTACTTCTTACATGTTGAACACAAATACCTGTACTTTCTACTTCTTACATGTTGAACACAAATACCTGTACTTTCTACTTCTCACATGTTGAACCCAAATACCTGTACTTTCTACTTCTCACATTTTCCAAACAGGCTGGTCCCTTTAGTTTGAATGTGTGTTTGGTGGCGTGATCATTATTATTTAGAGTCATTGCGTGCCTATTGATTTGAACACGATCCGTGTATCCATCATTTCCTGGTCTTCTCTAAAGAAGAGGGACCAATGAAAACGTTGTCATGTTGCCGTTGTTCAGCATGGAAACATTCATTCGCTAACAATGACATTATTGTTCTATTAATATAAAGGGAGGTCAGGTACTCTTTAAAAAAGCTGCTAGTTATGGGTGCTTTTTACTGAAGTACATTTCAAAGCCTCTTTACTTTGACTTGAGTAAAGAAGTATAGTCAGTACTTCTACTTTCACCAGAGTATTTTAAACACCAGTATCTGTACTTCTACTTGAGTAAAGGATGTGTGTACTTCTACTTGAGTAAAGGATGTGTGTACTTTTGCCATCTCTGTATAACTCTCACAGGTGCATCTTAATGCAGTCTGCAGTCCTCGCTCCCAGCTGTTTTCGGACGCAGGGCGTTGGCTCCTCTGCAGATTAGTTCCAGCTTCTCGTCCAATTCCTCTGTCATTACTCAGCAACTAATCAGAGCTCAGGCATGCTCCGAGGATTAATATTTTCCAAGAAAAAGACCAAGTGGATGTCTCTCCTAATATTCTTAAATATAAATAAGACTTGTCGACGTCTAAGAAGAGAAAGGATAAGGTCACATTCTTTCTTTACAGCGAGGTTTGGTTCCTAACGTTGAAGAAATGGCTGTTTTAGCATCAACTGGATTAAAAGTCGTGGTACATCTTGAACTTTAAATCAGCTTATCAGTTGCTTATGATTATTTATCTGACTTTTAGTAACTTTTATTAGAAGTACTCAAATATTTCTTTACCGATAAAATACATTTTCTTAAAGTTTTCAAGTGTTTAACATTTACAAGTGAAAAAGAAATCCCTGCAGCGATGCATGCAACACATGGCCTTTGTTAGACTTTATACATTATGTATATTTCATATGTACATAATCATTACCGATGCCCTGAAATAGATGTTAATTCTAACAAATGTACATATAATTATCGTCTTTATTGGTAAATCAAATGTATACCTTTTTGCAAAATATTCTTCCTGAATAACTTTTATAACGATGACTTGACCTACATTAAAAAAAAGCACAACAAAAGATATATTTTTAGTTTTGAACCCTTTATTGCAGTGGTTTCCCTCTGAGTTCATTGCATTGTATGAGGGCGGAGTGAAAGTGGAAATCCCCTGACCTAAACAGGGTGTTTCCATACATCCAGCGTCTTATATCCAACAGGAATTAAATGTGCATTATTGAGAGGAGCTCTGTGTTTGTTATCCACCCTGAAGCGCGCACACACACACACACACACACACACACACACACACACACACACACACACACACACACACACACACACACACACACAGCTGTCCTTTAGTCGCTTCCTGCCAGTGGAAAGACGGAGTATAAAACAGATAATTGCTCCATTATTTTTGCCAGAGAGCTCTTGCAGCTGTGTGTCATTGAATCAGTGAACTCTGCTAAATACAGCCATCGGACTCTCCTGCTATTCATGTCCTCAACTTATTCTGTACTTTGCCAAAAGCAGAGTCCCAAATTAAATGCGTGCGGACCTCACCTGACCCTCCAGGTGCTTCACAGAGGACTTAATAAGAAATGGCGGGTTGACGATAGCTAAAACCCAACGGCAACTTTCCATCACGTCTGCATTGGCACAGAAGCCGCTGATACAAAACCTCCATTGTTTACCGCCGAGTCCCACAAAGCACTGAACTGATTGTATGGCTTACAGTCATTGTACATTAAACCAAATGTGTGTGTTAGAGTGTGTGCATGTGTGTGACCTGCAGACAACTGGAGGTTTGTGGAGGTTGATGAAGTCCAACTGTGTGTTACTGAGCTCATTGTCCCAGAGCTGGACCTCATCTCTGTTTTTCTGTTTGTCTGAGAACTGGACAACAGAGTTTGATGAGAAGTAAAGAATTCATGTTGCGAAGCTACAAAAGCAGGAAGGAAAAAAGCATATTTCTGCATTTTGCATTTAAAAAGGTTTGGTTTATTTGACGCTAACGCACTCCCAGGATTCTGGCTCTTCTTGCCGTCTTGATTGTTTGCACTTGTTTTATTTTTTGTGCATATTTCATACATTATCAAGTTGGAGATATGGAATCTAGTTAAAGACTCTGAACAACAACTGTACTATAACTTATGGACTAGTGAATCTATTCTGACCTTGATATGGGCTCTTTTTGAGCATTTTCTAGCTGGTTATTGGAGCGTTTTCTACGTGGTTATTGAGCGTTTTCTAGCTGGTTATTGAGCGTTTCTTTGCTGGTTATTGGGCGCTTTCTACGTGGTTATTGGGCGCTTTCTGCGTTTTCTAGCTGGTTATAGAGCGTTTACTATCTGGTTATTGAGCATTTTCTAGCTGGTTATTGAGCATTTTCTAGCTGTTTTTTGAGCGTTTTCTAGCTGGTTATTAAGCGTTTACTAGCTGGTTATTGAGCGTTTACTAGCTGGTTATTGAGCATTTTCTAGCTGGTTATTGAGCATTTACTAGCTGGTTTTTGAGCGTTTTTTTGCTGGTTTCTGAGCGTTTTCTAGCTGGTTATTGAGCGTTTACTAGCTGGTTATTGATCGTTTACTAGCTGGTTATTGAGCATTTACTAGCTGGTTATTGAGCGTTTTCTATCTGGTTTTTGAGCGTTTCTTTGCTGGTTTTTGAGCGTTTTGGTTATTGAGGCGTTTACTAGCAGGGTTATTGAGCGTTTACTAGCTGGTTATTGAGCATTTTCTAGCTGGTTATTGAGCGTTTTCTAGCTGGTTTTTGAGCGTTTCTTTGCTGGTTTTTGAGCGTTTTCTAGCTGGCTATTGAGCGTTTACTAGCTGGTTATTGAGCATTTTCTAGCTGGTTTTTGAGCGTATTTAGCTGGTTTGTGAGCGTTTTCTAGCTGGTTTTTGAGCGTATTTAGCTGGTTTGTGAGAGTTTTCTAGCTGGTTGAGCATTTTTAGCTGGTTGAGCGTTTTCCAGCTGGTTTTTGAGCGTTTTCTAGCTGGTTATTGAAAACTTTCTAGCTGTTTTTTTTGCGTTTCTTTGCTGTTTTTTGAGCGTTTTCTAGCTGGTTATTGAGCGTTTACTAGCTGGTTATTGAGCATTTTCTAGCCGGTTATTGAGCATTTTCTAGCTGGTTTTTGAGCATTTCTTTGCTGGTTATTTTGCGTATTTAGCTGGTTTTTGAGCGTTTTCTAGCTGGTTATTGAGCGTTTTCTAGCTGGTTACTCTAGGTGCATTCAAACCTGACCTACAAGATTTAGAATCTCTGTTGTCGTTACTTTTATATTTCCATATATATATATACTTTAGAAATGTCTTTAATCTGCCACAAAGCGGGATTGTGTGCAGCCAGACGTTTTAAGAGGATTACTCTACATGTTTGAATGGTCTTTCATTCTTATAGGTTGTAGAAAGTCATTTCAAGAAATGTTATTCTGTCATGTACGCTGATTGGCTTCATCTGGCTTCAATAGATATAATATAGTTGACCAAAAGACCCAGTTATAATCAATGCATTCCCAGTTCTTTAACTCTGTGTGTTTCCCCTCTCTGCAGACACCGAGCTGTGTGGGTTCGGCTGGCAGAAGTTTCAGTCTCACTGCTATAAATACTTCACTCACCGGCGGACGTGGGACGCAGCAGAGAGAGAGTGCCGTCTGCACGGGGCCCACCTGACCAGCATCCTGTCCTCAGAGGAGCAGATCTACATCAACCGTAAGTCCACGAGGAGGCATTTAAACAGCGTCCCTCGATGTTAGCATGTAGGCTAAACGCTCTACCTTTTGATTCAGTCTCTAATCCCAAGAAATTAAGACTCAGTAAAACCCTGTTTAACATCCAATGCATCAGGAGAACATTGTTAGCCTTAGTAGTGGCTTGGCTGAATGGCAATGTCCATCTTTAGGGTCCAACACTCAATCACGTGCACGTATAACGTTGGTGTCTGCAGTAAAATAATCTACACAGGGTTCAAGAGGCGCACACGGTAAATGTTTCTCATTTGTTATTATATATGTGTGTGTGTTAATATTCACACTAGCAATGTCCATCTTCAGGGTCCAACACTCAATCACTTTGGTTCAAACCAAAATATCTCATCAACTATGGGATAGATTTCCATGAAATTTGGTTCAGACGTTCATGTTCCCCAGAGGATGAGCCCTTCTTACTTTGGTGAAGCTCTGACTCTTACTGTAGCCCGACTGTTAGATTTACAGTTATAGCTTTCTGTGAAATATATCAACAACCATGGGATGAAATGTGGTTCAGACACTCATTTTAGCTCCACTATGAATTGTAATACCCTTGATAGATCCTTAAGAGTTAATTAGCAGACCAAAAAAAGAACTTATGACATTCCCATTCCTCAAATGTAACTTTGAGTTAACTGATAATTAGCCAATGTTAGTAGCTAAGTTAGTAGTAAGATGGTATCTAATAATATGGCACTTTAGCATATAGCTCGAAGCTTTTTCTATCATTCCTACCTTCCTTACGTACATTGGGTCAATAATGAAAGACATGTCTTTGCAATACCTCCCATGATGCTTGGACCTACAGATTGGATTTGAGTGCCTAAACTCCCAGTCTGGGACCCAAATAGTTGAAAAAGTGTCTCTAATGACTTCCATTTTGTCCATTTGGTGCCTGCCATTGATACACTGAACTCTATAAGGGAGTAAATGTCTATATTTAAAAGCACTTATCCTGTTAAGCGTTGCTGATGTTTTACAGGAAAGAGCACTTTGAGAAGAGTGTTTGGAAAGCAGCCACTCAATCTGCGCTCTGATCCAGTGATGAGTGTTAGTCAGATAAACACAGAGTTTCCATAAACAATCAAAGCTCGAGCAACATATAAACCGTGTCTCCGTTTATCTGGGAAACGGAGATGAAATGGACTCGAGCCAGTCCTTAAATCACAGCTCAGTCTTGAACGTTTCCTCTGATTTCTCTCCTGGTTATTCACCACACACAAACCACAGCCTCGTAAATCATCACATCCTTCCTCTCCAAACCCTCTGTTATAAAGTCCTGGAGAAGTGTTTGCTTTGGAGAACACCAAACAATGGTTCCAACTTTGGTTAAAACCATATCTGTCACGGGATGGGGGGGGAAAATAGGACCCAAATGCAGAATGAGGAGGGAAGCAGGTTTCAAAATGGAACAAAAGGCGAGGTTTAATCACAAAAAGCTGAAAAAACAAGAATCCAAGAAAAGGTACAAGTTACCAGGTAGCATCCAAAACAAAAAGGGACTGTGACCAACATGAAGGGAGACATGAATGGCAAAAAATGAACCAACACTGAACACAGGAAGAGACAAGACTAAATACAGGGAGGGGTAATCAGGAGACGAGAAACAGCCGGGCAGGGGAGGAGAAACACAAGGGCAACAGGTGAACACAATCAGACAATCAGACACACCAGGGAAACTAACGACAAGGAGGACAGAACAGCTAAATAACCCCAAAACTAGACACACAAAAACTCAAACCCTGACAACATCTTGGTTTCGGAAACTGTAATTGAAATGAGTCATGGTGTAAGAAACAAGGGTTCATTATCTAGTCTCAAAGCGTAGGGTATGTACATATTAATGTAAGTTCTTTATTATTTAGTAGTAGTAGAAGAGTTATATTCATTACTGACAGGAGTTGTTTGATTGTTAACCTTGTGTTTAGTTTTTGTTTTTGTGTCTGTAAAATAAGATAAGATGTACTTTATTAATCCCAATTTGGGCAATTCTTTCGTTGCAGCAGCATAAAACAAAACAAGACTCTGCACATTATAACAAAAATAAACAATTCTTAAATATAAACATCTCAAAATAGAAATAAAAATAAACCAGCATTAGAGAGTAAGAAAAATATACAGATGATCGTGAAGATAAACAATCTATAAACTGTCTGACAAATAAAAACACTCTTGAAGGGCCAACTTTTCTGTTAAGGAATGGAATATTCAAATTAATATAAATATCAAATGAATGTTTTAAGTCCAGTTATCCAAGAGAAGCTATGGAGAAGTGTGTTCATGTGTGTGTGGACCAATGCATCCATGGTGTTGACCCCAGGAACAATGGCTAATGCTAAAGGGGGATCCTAATGAAACAGTGATTAAAAGACTGTGGTGTGTTTCTCTCTCAGGTATGGGCAGTGACTACCAGTGGCTCGGTCTGAGCGACAAGATGTTTGAGAGAGACTTCAGATGGACCGACGGGAGGCCGATGGTGAGGAGATGTTATTTATCAGTCTGTGGAAGTGTTTTATCAATGGGATTAGAAAAAGGCTTGCTTTTTTGCCTGTAAATTCATCGTTCTGTAGATTAAAAAGTCCACGTTCCTCTCAGGATGCGTCATCAGGAGGCTTGACTGTAGACGGTGGTTTTTCATATTCACAGACAAGTTAACTTTAAATAGGTATTATTCCTCTAAACTCTAGAGTCATTACTCAATCTAGATCTAGTGTTTTTGGTGAGTCGCCAAGCTCTTTAAAAATACATTTAAAACACCCAACAGGACGTTTTCTTTCTAAGAACCCTGACCCGGTTACTGAAGATAATCCAGAGATTACAGAGTCACCAGACAGGAGGAAGCATGCATCTACTTATTTAAACTTAATCATATAAACAGATCTTAAAGGGCCCATGTCATGCTTTTCCGGTTATCACCCGTCCCCTTGTGTGTTATGAAGGGTTTTCTGCATGTGAACGGTATGCAGTCTTTTTCCATTTGTTTCTTCCCGGAACCAGAATGGACCAATCCGCGGAGCTCCTCACACACCAGGACCTTTAGCGTACATGTTCAACTCACAGGGAGTCCCATTGACTTGCATAGAGCTCCCTGAACGCTGGTAATAGACGAGTTGTGTGTGTGTGGGCCTGTCACTGACGTGATCTCGCCTGGATGTGAGTAATCTAGCACGTGAGTCATTGTTGTGTGCGGGGGGGGGAGAGATAGTGGGCTCAGAAGACGGTGCGAAGAGAATAAAAGGTCACTCGGGTCACACGAGACCTAACCAGTCCCCCCCGAAACGCTCCGAGGCGAACGAGTGACTCGACCGAATGACCACACCAAGGCCCAGCCACTATGTCTCTCTGTTTGATTTGAGTAGGACTCGTGTGTTTGTGAGTTCACTTCATTGTTGTTATTCAAACCGAACTATTACTCATTCTTTTTCCAAAATATTCGACTCTCTTACCCAGACCTCTC